AAAATTTATCGGGTTCGAATTTTGATCTGGAAATGGGTCATCTTGACTGAAGTTTTCTCTGCTTTACTCAGTCCCTCTTCGTCGTGATAGTAGTGAAGAAAGACCATGAGCAGGCACTTACTTACCATTGCCCCTTTCAACGTCACATAATTTTTGCATTCATTTTTTTTTTTGGGGGGGGGGTGCTTTGCAGTATTTGACGAACCTTGGCCTCATCACACATAGAGGTTCCTTAATATTTGTAGACATTTGGTGATTAGCTCGCCGTAAGGCCTCTACCTATGCAGGACACTACAACACAGAAAAAATACATCGATGCTTTGATCTGGATTCGAAAGCAAGATCTCAGTGACCAAGAGATGAAGACCGAAGACCCCACACCCCAGACCACGCGGCCACTGCGACCGACAGTAAATAAAATCAGCTACAACAAAAAAATTATATTTACCTAAAGTATTCTTCATTCATATTATATTAAATATGAGTTTCATGTACCATATTCTTATTTTAGGCCTGTTTATTTGGATTTATTTATAATATTTCGAATGAGCTGTACTTCAAAATGGTAGGTTACAGTCTACACAGGCGCTTAAATTTATGTTTTATGTGACATGATGTTTCCTGTAGGATTTTAAGATACACAAGTCAAGCAGGGAATATAACTTTCTCTTTCTATTTAAAAGGGTTTTCAGCTCCGGTTCTTTTACTTTCTTATATTTTCTGCACTCTAGAGAGTATGAACAGACAATGCCGTATTTAACCTCTATTTTGTAAAACGTCATATGTTTCGCAGCTTTGAGCAGGATATATTCTCATCTCCAGCCACATTACAGATTTATTATATAAAATGGGTGGGAAATAACAGGAGATACGAGGTACCGGAAGTGCTAATTATCGGGGCTCTCCATAAGATGGCCTATGAGATGGAAGATTTTATTCCCGACACAGGCGATATATTTTTTTCGTCACGTCGAGACTGATTTTGGTGCTCACCTAGAGCGGTGTGTTGCCCGCAGGTAAAATAGCCACTCCTTTTACATAAAACGTGAAACTTTATGTTCACTCCTCTTGAACACACCTTCATGAGGCGGTATTTAAGTACAGAATAAATGCTACGTTTACCTTTCGAACAAACGTTAAACCGTCGAAGCACAGTGGCAATTATTTGTACCACCTTCTATAATACCCTCTCTGTTCATTCTGACCACTCAATTCCATTGTTTGAACGAGAAACTATGGCCGAGACGATGCAATACGTCGTCTCCTTAGACATCGTTATAATATCTTTGCCCATTAGACCGAATTCCTGTACAGAAAAGGAAGAGATGTTCCGACGCAACCAGCCAACTTCTGACATCTTTAAACCCAATTTACTTCAGCAACCAATTGTCACGGAGGATGAAAATGTATGTTCCGATACAGAAACACTCTTAAGGTACAATTTGGCTGCACGCGACAGAGACAAGCGACCGAGGCAGGCGACAGAGTTACGAGACCGAGACTGGTCGCTTCCTGTCTGCTCTCTGTACAATCGTATGAAGTACAATTACGAGCGCGAGACA